CACGCAGCTCACACCAGCATGGTTGCCTGTGAACAAGGTCACTGTGTGCCCTCTGAGAGAAAGTGACAGCATGACAAACACGAGAAAGGGAGGGTGGAGGGGCTCAAAGTGGGAGGGTGAGAAAAGAGAGGGGGGGGTGAGGCGAGTGCTAAAGGGAATACTGGGAAGGCCTTTGCATAGAATGTCCGCACTGGCCGACATCAAATGGCATGGCAATAACCACATACCAGAGGGTAATCGGTTCTGGCAAAAATATGCAGCATGAATTGATAGCACCGACACTGCATCTAGAAACAACATCTAAGAATAGGATCAGAGAGGAAAGACTTGCTAGTCAGTCATGTTGCCCGACTTCAATCGTCTGTACAGCACCTGTTTGCCGGGTGGCTTTCACACCTCTCAATAGAGAGTGGTGTTCCATGTTGAGAACTGAGCCCAATAAACTTTAAGGCCTCAATTCTCAACATGGATGACACCACATGCAAAAAAGGTTACAGAAATAGAAGTCTTTCTTCAGACTCTCTGTTCCCTTTTTTAGGTTGTACTAAAACCAAGAGTGGCAGTTCAATCTGGTTGTTCACATATCACTTTATTGATCCTATTTATACCATCATTTCGTCTGTCCCCTTCCACGGGGAAGTTATACTACAGGCCAGGGTCAGGTACACTCCTGAAGCTGGAAGCGATTTATTGCATTGCTCAAGGACACATAATATGGTGCACATTTGCACACACAGAGCTTCCGATCCTTGCTGTTGTGGCTGAAGGTCAGTCCTACTTAATATACCACATCGCTGCCTCAATAGGATTTTGGGCTATGTGGCAATGCGCTTTTGTCCTGGCAATGTTGCACTCCAACACTCATAAATTTAACTATTTGCACTGTTTCAACTCTGCCTCTGCCGCTCTGAACAGTCCCTTCTCCTTTGATCCTAGAGGACGCTCCGAACTGGGGTCAATGCAACTGAGGCTAAATGCCAGCAGACCAAACAGGTGCAGTAGGGAGCTACAGGGGCATGGAAGGACAAGTGAGGGCAAGTAGGGCTGACGAGGAGAAAGAAACCATACTACAGCACACCGTAACATAAAAAAAAAATATATAAAAATTATAGCTCCAGTAAATAATGTTGCATGGGCCGCAACACCTCGTGCTATTTGCCATCCAAGGCTCCTGAACCATTGTCTCTCTCCAAGCCATTTGCAGCTAATAATTCCCAAGGCACCAAAGTAACACCTGGACATTGTTCTGTTTTTCTCATAAACATAATAGCTCCCTGTAAACTCAAGCTTTTCAGTTGTGCTAGGTCAAGTAATTAGAAACCAGAAGATGAGGAAAAAAAAAACACAAGTCAGCTTAAACTTTAAACAAAACAAATGGGCTTGCTGCAGCGCCAACTGGCAAATCAAGTCCAACACACCGACTGCCAATGTCACACATTGGTTATTAAGCACTAAAATGTGGGAGCTGTGCTGTGGCACTATCTATTGGCTGGCAAAAGTAAAAGGTCCAAGCATGAGGCCTTTTCTGTTCTTCTAGTGACCATGCTGATACCACAATTTTAGCTATTAGGTGAAATGACATTTGCCATAGAGCTTTTCTTAAAGTGGAAGTCTGAAATGACAGCTTGGCTTAAACTACAACAGCTGTTCAACTGTAATCTCACACTGCGTGATAGCCAAAATAGAATTAGGGAATTGTTTTTTCAAAAGGGAGGGAAATTCCTATTCTACTTGCGCAATGGTCGATATAACGTACCTGTAATTTAATTGCTTTTGTTCCTGCTGTTGTTTTGCATTAAGCATGACTGTAAGAGTGAAAACCAGGGGGACTCCAGCTGCCACATTAGATGAGTGAAGTTTGATTGGAATAAGGCTCCAGGAGCCTTTTTTCTTACAACTGATGAAGGACATAGCATACAGCTTCATCCCTTAGGGCAGTGTTTAAAGAACAACCTCCCAAATAGACTGGAAGAGGGCTGAATGTAATGGTGTCATAAACACCTTAAAAGAAGTCCTCTGTAATCCATCCTGGCCTCTCAACAAACATGTGAAAAACAGGATGTCCCATAGTCTCAAAGTGCAAATAGGTTCCTGTAACTTCTCTCAGTCACTGTCACCTTAAATGTGGTCTTGTTTGATCAGAGTATGACGTGCAGTCTTGGGGCAGGTTATTATCCTGTTTTCCTTACTTCAGTCTCCCATTATTTGAGCTAAAAAGTCCCACCCACTTACATACACAGGTGGATTTGGTTATTTCACCATTTTTCATTCTATAAATATTTCTGCAGGTCTTTCTAATTTTTTTAAGCTATATAGGCATTTACAACTGGCAAAATTTAGAAAAATCCTCAGACTAAAAGTTATTTATACCACAGTGACTTAGACATGTGATATAGAAACAATTACTGTATCTTTGTGCTCAAAATTACCTATAGTAGTAGTAGATACTCATTTATCTTTTAAAAGAAAATATAGAATAAAAGAGAAAATACATTGTATGGCCGTGGCTAACGAAGCTCTCAGAAAGGATTGGGGATATCAGTATTCAGTGACAGCAGGCTTGAACAGTTCTTATGGGAAGAATTAAATGACAGCAGTCAAAATAATTTGCACACAAAATGTTATAGGAAACAATCAAAGGAAATCTGTAATGCAGGGTTATTATAGGCTAGGTGTCAAATATAAGCTGTATTATGTAGTAAAAAATAAAATATAGCAAATCAAAATTACAAAGCACATGAAAGTGATAGGAAGTGAAAAAGTAATCAAGACATTCCTAATTATAAGCATTATATTTGATAAGTGCCACATTTTTCGCCTCACCCGCTTCTTTCCTCCTTATTTTCTACTTGATCTGCTTTTCTTCTCTCACCATTGTTCTTCATTTTACTCTGCTTCTCTCTCTCTCTCTTTCAGTCTCCGCTTGACTCTCTCCCATCGCACAGCTCCAGTGAGCCGACTCCCCGCCAGGCAGTGCGGCCCAGGAGGGAGCAACCAGCTGAATTATTGAGAGCATAAAAACGCTGCCGCTAATGGATCCTGAATAAACACGCTGGCTAAGCTGCTCCCGCGGCTTCCTCTGCTGCCACAGGGCATCAAGCTGAAAATACTGAGGTTGAGGATGCAGCGACCGGAGCCTACGGCTGAAGCTTCGTCTGGGACTGAGCCAGTTATGACACACTCGGGCCATCCAAAAGATTTTGGGGTACAGGGAGCAAACCTACGAGTGATTCTTGTGATTTATTGACAGTGGAAGCAGTGAGGGATGTAAAAATCAATGAGTGTTTTTTTTTCTCTCATTATCTTTTCCCTATCTCTAACCAAACATTACAGTTAATATATAAACTTGAACAGTGTAGTCTATTATAATTTAATTGGAGTAGCATGTGAAACATTTTAAATATTGGGTCATTCCCTGACGTCATCCCATATCAAAACACTGAGTAAATAAACATTTATACCAAAATATAATTTAACTGTATTGGGCCTTTGTTAGGGTAGTAATTGCGCAGGGCCTTTGACAGGTCCCTCCAAACAAACTGGCACACATCATTAGGTTTTAAGATGGTAACAGATTATGAAGCTAATCATAGATTCATGTAATGAGCTAAGACAAACTTCTAGTGTGAGTGTGACTGTGTGTGTGTGTGTGTGTGTGTGTACACACGTGGGTTTGTACATGCTTGAGTGTGTTCACTCTCATTTAAAACTACTTCTGGATCTAATTCCAAAGAAAGAACCATAGCACAGTGTCTTCATCTTGTTCTCTGATAATGAACGCACTCCAAGGGAAATGAGTAGAAGAGATAGAAATTAAAATACGAATGGAGAGGCCATAAAAAAGGAGGGAAAAAAAAATGTTGGCCCTGCAGCAAACTGGAGCTTCTAAGATTATGACTCAGCTGAAAATCTGTGTACATATGTGTGTATGAACCCTTTTTCTGTTACGATGCACTGTGCGTGTGTGTGTGTGTGTGTGTGTGTGTGTGTGTGTGTGTGTGTGCGCACACGTGTGCGTAGAAAAGTTGTTTCCCATATGAAGATGAAATGCACTTCTGCCTTATGTAAATGCAATGGAATATAGCACCACTGCCTGGCAAATCAGAGCAACTGGAAGGTACAGACAAAAGGAGAAGGGGGGGGGATTTAAAAAAAATGCAAAAATGCAACTCCAAAAAAGGTGTCACTCAGTGAAGAAGAAAGAAAAACAACAGAAAAAAACAACAGA